GAAGTTTGTCATTTCGTCTTCATCAGTTTGCTCTTCTTCGAACGCACTCATTTTATCTCACTTTAAGTGCTCTCTTCTTCTTTAGTAACTTATTTTTAAGTTTATTTTTTAATTCTTGTTTAGTGAACTTTTTTAAGTTTTATAGTGAGAAGTTCGAGTTCATCATCACTTGAGCTTTCACTCGAGTGGTCTTCATTTGTTCTAAGTATCAAATCCTTAAGGTTCTTTGGAAGGTTGTTCTCAAGTTCTTCATGAGCCATACAACTCATTTTGTAGGTCATCAATGACCCAATCAGTTCTTCAATGGGAAAATGGTTCAAGTCCTTTGATTCTTGTATTGCCATGATTTCAGGATCCCAACTTTTTGGAATGGATCTTAATATCTTGTTAACAAGTTCAAAATTCAAAAAATATTTTCCAAGAGCTTTTAAACTATTGACGACATCCATAAAACGGGTGTACATGTCAACAATAGTTTTGCTTGGCTTCATATGAAACAACTCAAAATCATGTAATAAAAGATTAACTTTAGAATCTTTTACCCTGCTTATGCCTTCGTGTGTGATTTCGAGTGTATGCCAAATGTCAAAAGCTATTTCATAAATAGAAACTCGATTGAATTTATTTTTATCTAAAGCGCAAAACAAGACATTCATAGCCTTGGCATTTAAAGAGAAATTTTTCTTCTCCAACTCATTCCAATCATTCATTAGAAGAGACCTTTCAAATCCATTTTCAATAATATTTCATAAATCAAGATTCAAGGAAAGCGAGAAAACTCTCATCTAAGTTTTCTAATAAACGTAATCCGTCCCATTGAACATGGGAGAACGAATAATAAAAAAGCCCTATTGAAAGTAGAAAAGAGTTATTTTTCTTGAGTGTTAAACCAAATGAGAAAGGCGTGGCTCTGATACCAACTGTTAGGAATGAGTCGGTACTAAGAGGAGGGGGGGGGTGGGTGAATTAGTGTAGCAGATAAAAACTTCGATTTGAAATTTCTTCATACGATAAAAATCGATCTTCAATGAGAAAATGGTTCAAATCCTTTGATTCTTGTATTGCCATGATTTTAGGATCCCAATTTTTTAGAAGGGATCTTAATATCTTGTTAACAACTTCAAAATTCGAAAAACATTTGCCAAGAGCTTTTAAACTATTGATGACATTCGTAAAACGGATGTATATGTCAACAACAGTTTCACTTGGCTTCGTACGAAACAACTTAAAATCATGTATTAAAATATTTGTCTTATAATCCTTTACTCTACTAGTGCCTTTGTGTGTGATTTCAAGAGTGTGCCAAATATCGAAAGTCGTTTCGTAAATAGAAACTCGATTGAATTCGGTTTTGTCGAAGGCACAAAATAAAGCATTCATAACTCTAGCATTTAAAGAAAAAGTTTTCTTCTCCAAATCATTTCATTCTTTCATTGGAGTAGAAGACTTTTTAACACTGTTTTCGATAATATTCCATAAATTTAAATCCATAGAAAGCAAGAAAACTCTCATATAAGTTTTGCAATAAGTGTTGTCCGTCCCATTGAACATGGGAGGACGAACGAAAGAAAAACCCTCTTGAAATCCGAAAAGAGCCATTTCTCTTAGGTGTTAAATCAAATAAGAAATTCCGATACCAACTGTTAGGAACGAGTTGACACTAGGGGGGGGGGTTGAATTATTGTAGCAGATAAAATCACCGGTTCGAAATTTTTTCGTACGATAAAAATCGATTTCGACGAAAACCGTTTCGTAAAGATATTAACTTGAAAGAGTATGGAAGCATAGTGAAAGTAATAAGGATGTAAGATAGTTTGTAATAAAGATAAATTACAAGAATGGAAATGCAAACCGAGTTTTATAGTGGTTCAGTCGTCGTGACTTACATCCACTCCACCGATTCCTCTTCTGTCGAGGCCACCGGCATCCACTAACGATCTTACTTCAATGGACGAAGATCAACTGCCCATATAAATCGATTCTCCTTTTGACAGGTTCCGGAGAGAACCTTTACAACCCCTTTTTACAAAGCTTCCCTCACATTCTCTCTTAGAATGGTCTCTAAATTTTAGGATGAGGGACTCTATACTTTACAAGGGTTTTGAACTCTAGAAACACAAAGTTTTTATTCACTTTTCTTACTAATCCATGTAGGAATAGCTGAGGTATTTATAGACCCCAAGTGGCTTCAAAACATGGAGTCAAAATTTAAATCCTCAAAATTACAAGGTACGGGTGGTAACACCGCCTGCACTGAGTGGTACCACCGCTTGATAGTCTCGGAGACTGAGTCTGGGCGGTACCACTGCCTGACACTGTCTTGGAGACTGTGCCACGTCGATTCCACTTGTTGGGTTACTGTTTGGGCCTTTTCACTTGGCCCAACACAGCCCAAATTTGGCTCAATTAGCCCCTAATTAAGTTGGCCCAATTCCAACCCAATTATGTTTTAACTATGAATTTTAAGACATTTACTAAGCTAAATAAGTCTGTAACTCTAGGTTTCTTCCAGCGAGCTTCCGACGATCTTCCGGCAAACTTCCGATGATCTCTCAATAATGTTCCAGCGGACTCCCGGCAAGCTCTTAGACTTCACGACGATCTTCTTAGCGAGTTCCGACGAGCTTCTCTGGCAAGCTTCTGGACTTCTCAATCAATTCCGACAGAACTTTCGACGAACGTCCGGACTTTCGACGAACTCTCGAACTCCCAACGAAGTCTCATTCTCGACCCTGGGACTTCATTTTGCTTTATATCTTGCTATCATAGTTAATCCTGCATACTTAAAACCTACTTTGATCTAGACAATTATTATAAAACTTGAATTATGTTGTCCGACATATTATCGGTTCATCGACGTTTCATCTGATTCTTCGGCGCATCATCCTCTCTTGTAGTCTATTGCCCAATCGACCAATTGATCTCCGTAACTCCGATTTTCTTAGTGCAATTTTCGCTCTTCTTGGCCCGATGCCCGAACCTATAGCTCGAAGCCTTCTGTCGATACGTCAACCGATCATTCGACTCAACGTCCAATCTTCTGACATGTTTTTTTCCAACCTAGCATGATTCTTTCTGCTTTAATTATATCTCCCCGATCGAAGCTTTCTACGTCACTCAAAAACGTAGATCAAATCATAAACACTATCAATTGGTTTCATCATCAAAATCCGGGATTCAACAACCGACAAACATGACACATATTAATTTTGAATTGATGTTTTATCACAAGATATACTTTTTGTCATGGTAAAGTAACATTTTTTCAAAGAAAATCATAATTTTATTTCATTTATATTTTAAAAAAAATTAAATTTCTTTGAAAAGATAATGTAGCGTTGAAATCATAAAAATTAATCATTTCAAAATTTTAAAAATAGAAAATGTTCATTTTTTAATTTTATTTATTAAAAAATAAAAGGTAAGTTACACTATTTTTTTAATGAGGTCGTTACACTATTCAAATGAGTTATAATCTTATTCAAAAATATCAAAACTCAGATCTATAATTTTTATATAAAAATTTGAAAAACCTTCTCTAATAATATTAGAGTAATATTTTGGTCCAAAGTGATTGCAAATTAACAAAATGATAAATATTCATCTTTAAAGACCTCAAATTAGCAAAAATATACTCGTCCTAATGCTAAAATAGGGGGGAAGAAATGATCATTTATGTATAAATAAGTTATTTGCAAAGTTTCTTGAAAATTTGAGAATATTTGAAAAAAGTGAGATGTGAATAACCTCATTGAAAAATAGTATAACCCAAGTCTCCAAACTATTATTTTTTTATTTCATAAAAATATTCCATTTTTGACCCAAAATGGTTATAAATTCACCATAAATTGCATAAAATTAAAAAATGATATAAATTCAAAATTTTAAAGACTAAAATTAATAAAAAAATATTAAAAATAAAAAATAAAATACGGTTGTTTAGATCTTTGTCAACCATTTGTATGGTTTCCAAAATTTTAATTATTTTTCAAAAAATCGATAATTTTTAACCTAAAATTATTATAAGTTAACCTTTTATTTTTTATTTAAGTTCAACTTAAATTAGACATAATAAGAAAGACATAAATCCAACTTATAAGAACTAAAATAAGTGAAAAAAATTACTTATTTTAAAGAATATTTCTATTCACATCCCAATTTTACTATTTGGAATCCTACTTCAAAAATTTTAATATTTTCAAAATACTCCTTTACAAATAAACATAAACATTATCTTCTTCATTCTCCTTTTCTAGTTCTTCTTATCCTTTCTCGTAAGGCCTACCCACAATAGAGAAAGTGCGGAATATACAAATAAGGAGATCAAAGAGATGGTTTGCCCATATCGCTCTCTTCTAGAGATCTCGTCCGACCTCATGACCTCATCATGTCTCTCTCCAAGTGTTGAGCGAAGCGAGAAGCGACTGACGTTAGAGATCGTAGAAACAAAAATAGTAAGATTGATAATTGAGAGATTCTAAATAACATAATTATATATATATATATATATATTTGTCTTTAGAGATTCCCAATAGCTAAAAAAAGGATTCTAAATACTAAACTTCATTTTAAAAGCGTAAATAATCATTTAAAACTTTAGAAACCATTTTTATTTTAAATTAAAATAAAAAAACACATTATTCTTAATAATTTATTCAATAATATGATTTTTATTTAGAATATACAAAAATAATGTTGTTGCCTTACATGCTACTTTAATTCAATATTTTACTACTATCATAATTTTATAGTTTTTATAGTAATTTATTTCAATATTAAATTTAGTTTATATATTTATCATTATAAATAAATGTATTAATATTATTTGAACTTATAAATTATTATTTATTTAGGATCCATCTGATGTTGATTTAAAATGATCCAACGAAATAGTTCACTTGAACTGGACTCGAAACGGAGTAAAACGAAGAAAGAAAACAAATGAAAACTAAAAAGGACAATTTTGTCTTAAAAAAAATTTAAAAAACAATTTTTTTCTGAGAAACTTGGTTTTTTTTATTGGTCTCGTCTCTTTCTTTTCAGTTGTCCATAGAATTAACTACGAAGGATGATGATGATAAAGGTCAAAGAAATACAACACATGACTACTAACAGATCATTGACAATCTCATAGGCATTAATAAAAACACACGAAGCACGAGTTGACTAACAGAAGAAAAGACAGTATTATGTTCTGGCAACCGGCTCGAGAGCTTCAATCATCACCACACTGTTTCCTCGAATAACCTACAAAAGAACATATTAAATATCTTTCGTAAAGAAATGAAAAAATAAATAAATAAAAGGAACATCATACAGGATAAATGATGCAAGAACTCACCACCATGCCAATATCATTCTTCTCATTGCCGTTCACCTCCACGGTGTTGTCAACAACGAGGTTCATAAATTGATCAAACCCACGAAGAGTGCCAACCACAACTCGGTTTGCATTCAACTTTACTGTAAATAATGGTTTTAACTCGAATTATATCAGCCTATGCTTCAAAGGCAAAGCAAAAGAGTGGGAATACAGGGAAATAATAATCATACATCACGAGAGTTCACGAGTTCCCTAAGCAGTTTCGGGAACAAATCATTATTTCATGTTTGGGACCATGGACACGATGAGTTCAAAAAAGAAATCATTATCAAAGTGTATAAACTAGAGAACATAGAGACTTCACCGGTTGGCAACTTTGGTCATGTTACACAATGACATAGGTAGACTTAGAATCTGAACCCGGCGATTGCGAAAACTACTGTATCCACTGGACCAACACTAAAAGTACATCATTAATTACTAATTTGCCTATGGAATTCAGTTATATTACTAAACAAATAATGATGCTGTTCTCTGAACTCATCCAACGATATCTAATTAAGAGATTCATCTCCCTAGTAACTGTGTACAGGAATATTGGAAGAGGAGTCTAAACTGGTATTCTCTCTAACCCTTAAAAGATTGACCATCATCTACATTTAGATCCATCAAAAAAAGTTGTTTGGCACTTTCCATCATCTACATGATTATGTAAACCACTAACTTTGAATTCTTAAAATATTGCTATATGAGTCCATATGATTTACCTCAAAAGTGCCCAAAGTAATTCTGAAGCAAAATTTGCTTTTAGACAGATCTAGCAACGAAATTTTTTGTGATTAAAGACCACAACATCCACTTCACTAACCATGTGCTTCGCATTTTCTTGTCAAGAGATACCCACTCTTGTATACTCCCTCTTACACATGTAATAAGATGGTGAAGGCAAGAGATCAAAATTTGATGTATTAAAAATTCTTTCAGAACTCCTATGTGCTCTTCTCTAAAAATGCCAAACTCAACCTAGTCTCAGAATTTGTACCATTTTGTATCCTGACACAATCAAGTCTTCTGTAAATGCATTTTTTTAATTAATGTAATTTTTAATTAATGAAGTTTCCTTAAATAAATTTATCATGCAATCTGCAAATAGTACAAGGACCTAGCAAAGATTTGGAAACTATGATAACAAGCTGAAAAGATCTATAGGACAGTTTTCCTCCCTCTCCCTCTCTCTATCCCTTCCTTGATTCTCAGATAAATAAATACACCTTAATCGCACTTCATGAACTTGTCCTACACCACATTTGTTTAACAAGATCCATAAAAAGTGACACCCACATGAAAATCTTCTATGCAAAGACTGTAATCAGCATTTTCCTCAAAATGAATTTTTCCAATTTAAAAAAAGGAATTTTGAATTTACTTAGAATCGCCAATGCAGCCTGGTGACAGCAGTTGTCATGGTTATATAGTCCATAATGCACATAAATATTTAAAATTTGCTGAAAATTGATGTGTGATAAGCATCCATTAATTACGGCAAAAACAACAGGCAACTTCAATAAATGGATAAAATGCAGCTTCAGAGTTTTGAATGGAGCTAAAATGTATGTAGCATAAGACTAATAATGTATTATGGCAATTCAGTGAGAATCATGCATGAACATGCAAGTTGAAGCAGAAATTGAAGTTATAAAGTTCATGCAACAAAAGAATTTGAGTCACTCCTACTGAGATGAACTTGATAAGATTGGAACCTTTTGTTGCATAGGGGATCTTTCAACCCCAAAAAAATATGAAACCAAGTACTATCAATGAAAGGTTATTATTGATAAGAAAAGAAAAAAGAGATAGAGAGGAAAGCGAAAATTTGATGGAAGAGGTAAACAAAAACTTTTGTTCTCCTCGATCAATCTCTAGATTTGTTTTTTTGACTCACTCTATCTCTCTTTGATCATAAAATTTCTCATCTATTTATAAAAACATAGATGAGAGTTACAATACTCATACTTTATGACTGAATGCATTCATACACTTTTATCAATTGTAACCTATGAAATTTACTATTGATGCTTTAATTCTCACAGTGTGTTTTTAGAAAGCGCCCGAGTGCTTGCTTAGGCAAGCAATCAGGTGAAGTGAGTGTTAGAACCCTTGCAGATTCTAAACTTGGGGTTGATCTCTTTAGGGGATCGGCCTCCTTGGAACTCTATAGGGGTTTCTCCCTCCAAGTTGCTGCTCAAAGGCTGCAGAAAAGATTCATCTATTGCTTATGAAAAGAGGTGGAATACATAACTATTTATAGGACTTCTAAACCCTAACTCCTAATAGGACTCTTACTTAAGACTCCTACTTCTAACCAACTCCTAATAGGACTCCTACTAAGACTCCTACTTCTAACCAACTCCTAATAGGACTCCTACTCAAGACTCCTATTCCTTTACAACTCTCTATTCCTCTCTAAGAAATAACCTCCTAACCCTAGCCGGCCTCTTCACCTCTTTAATAGGGGTCGGCTTAGGTAGGTTTTACATGAATGTCCCTCTCAATTAGGACTCTCCTAGCTAGAGTCCTAACAGACCCGCCCTCTTCAAATCAGCCTTGTCCTCGAGGCTGACGATTCATGAATTTTGAAAATTTGATCTTCAAGTCATCATAGTTCTCCCAAGTAGCATCTTCTGTTAGTAGGTTTGCCCACTGTATTAGAAATTCAGTAGTGGATCGTCGTCGTCGAGTCACGATCCGTCGATCAATAATGCCACTTGGCTGAGTCTGAAGTTCTCCTTGGGTAGTCATATTTGGTGGGTGGCTTTGGGCTGTCTCCAAGCACCTATTTACAACTTCCGTCTGCCGTCGGTTTGTGGGTGATATGTCGTACTCCTTTTCAATTTAGTACCCTGCATATGGAATAACTTTGTCCAAAATCTGCTCGTGAAGATGCAAGTAGAATTTATCATAAGCACAATGCGTCCCTTATAGTGTAATTCTTTTGAGTCCCAATTGTAATGAGCCATGGGGCTTGGTGCTTCCTCCAATTTTTTTATAATCTTACTAGTATCTGAATCTTCCTGTCATTCCATCTTAATATCCTCAAGGAAGTCGCTGGTCGGAAGTGAAACGACCGAAACTTCAACTTGCTCGGGTAGCTGCGAAAGCGCATCTGCAAGAACATTTTCTTTCCCCTTTTTGTAAGTTATTTCATAATCAAATCCAAGAAGTTTTGTTACCCATTTTTGCTGCTCAGGGGATGATATCTTTCGTTCCAAAAAGTACTTGAGGCTTTTATGGTCGGTTTTAATTTGAAATCGTCGACCAATTAAGTAAGGTCTCCACCTCGTTGTTGCACGCACAATGGCGAGCATCTCCTTATCATATGTTGACTTATTTTGATGGGAGGGAGATAATGTCTTGCTAGTGTATGCGAGTGATCGACCATCTTGCATGAGAATGGCTCTAATTCTGACTCCAGATGCATCGGCCTCAATAATGAAGGGTCGGTTAAAATCTGGTAGTGTTAGCACCGGCGTCGTCATCATGGCTGCCTTAAGTTTGTCGAAGGCAGCAGAGGCTCTGTCCGACCATTGGAAGACATCTTTTTTCAGTAAGGAAGTAAGTGGTGCACTGATCTCTCCATAGTTTTTCACGAACTTGCAGTAGTAGCTTGTTAAACCCAAAAAGCCATGTAGCAATTTTATGTTCCTTGGGGTCAGCCAGTTTTGCATTGCTCCAATTTTGAAGGGGTCTATTGCCACACCTTCCTCTGATATGATATACCCAAGATATTCCACCTTCTTTTGAAGAAAGCAAAAATTCATAGTGGTCGTTGTGTGTTCAAAAGGTGGTTTTCGGTATGTCTTCTTCGCATACTCGTATTTGATGATACCCGAATCGAAGGTCCAGCTTTGTGAAGATTTGTGCTCCCTTTCATCTAGCAATTCATCTACTATTGGAATAGGGTATTTATCCTTGATGGTTATGCCATTGAGAGCTCGGTAATCAACACATAATCGCCTTGTTCCGTCCTTCTTGCGTACAAGTAGCACCGGTGAAGAGTAGAGGTTGCAACTTGGCCGAATAACTCCTGTTTTGAGCATCTCTTTTACAATCCTTTCTATTTCATCCTTCTGAAGATGTGGATACTGATATGGCTGAGCATTTGCTGAAGATTTGCCTGGAAGGATCGTTATACAATGATCATGCCGACGGGTAAGAGGTAGGTTGCGCGGTTCGTCAAATATATTTG